TTTAGGTCATTTACATTCAATGTTACTATTGTTATGTGTGAATTTGATCCTGCCATTTTGTTACTGGCTGGTTTTCTTGCCTATTAGTTGACTCAATTTCTTCATCACATTTTTGGTCTTTGCCATTTGGTATGCTTTTGTAGTGGCCAGTACTTGTTCCTTTCCACGTTTAGTGTTTCTTTCAGGAGCTCTTGTAAGGCAGGTCTCATGGTGAAGAACTCTCTCAGTAATTGCTTGTCCATAAAGGATTTTATTTATCCTTCAATTATGAAGCTTAGTTTGACTGTACATGAGATTCTGGGTTGCAAATTCGTTTCTTTATGGATGTTGAATATTGGCCCCCATTCTCTTCTGGCTTGTAGGGTTTCTGCAGAGAGATCTGCTCTGAGTCTGATTGGCTTCCCTTTGTGGGTAACCTGTCCTTTTTCTCTGGCTGCCCTTAGCATTTTTCCTTCATTTCAACCCTGGTGAGTCTGACGATTATGTGCCTTGGGGTTGCTCTTCTTGAGGAATATATTTGTGGAGTTCTCTGTATTTCTTGGATTTGAATGTTGGACTGCCTTGCTAGGCTGGGGGAGTTCTCCTGGATATCCTGGAGAGTGTTTCCCTGCTTGGATTCATTCTTCCTGTCATATTCAGGTACATTGATCAAGCATAGATTAGGTCTTTTCACATAATCTCATATTTCTTGGAGGCTTTGTTCATTTCTTTTCACTTTTTTTCTCTTGTCTTACCTTCTCTTTTTATTTCATTGAGTTGGTCTTCAATCTCTAATATCCTTTCTTCTGTTTGATTGATTTGGCTATTAAAACTTGTGTTTTTTTCTTTTTCTTTTTCTTTTTTTTTTAAATACGTTATCTGATTCAACGAAGTTGCTTGTGACATTGATGAATGAGTGAAGTTCCAATGTTCTGTGTGGAAGCTGTAAGACATGTCAGCCTAATTCATACTATTTGTATGAGTGGGAGAAACGTGTGTCACACTCAATAATTACGCACTTTTTGAGACTGAGCTAGTAGATGGGGGTTTGCCTCTGCTTGTCAAATCATGGTCCAATGCAGCCCGGATTGGCTTACAGATCGGAGTTTGCTGTGAGAATCGATTAGCTCTGTGAATGTGAAATAGCATATCGTGTATCTCACTATACGTAGTTTTCGTGCTGTGTTTTTCAGCTCCATCAAGTTGTTTATGTTTTTCGCTAAGCTGGTTATTCTAGTTAGCATTTTGTCTAACCCTTTTTTCAAGGTTTTTAGTTTCTTTGCATTTGGTTAGAACGTGTTCCTTTAGCTCAGAAAGTTTGTTATGATCCACCTTCTGAAGCCTGTTTCTGTCAATTCATCTAACTCTTTCTCAGTTGTGTTGTGTTCAGTGAGGAGTTGTGATCCCTTGAAGGAGAAGAGGAGTTCTGGTCTTTGATTGTTTCATCTTTTTTGCACTGTTTTTTCCCCCATCTTCATGGATTTATCTAGCTCTGATCTCAGGAGCTGCTTGATGAGGTCACTTGTCTGCCTGTCAAGGCCTACTGGGTTTCCAGGGACTCCTTCAGGTACTAGGTAGGCTTCCTGTGTCTTTTTTGTTCACACTGGGAGGTTAGGCCTGCCTCTTTAATGGTGGGCACCCCTCCTTCTGCCGACTTGGAGGCGCTGCTGGGTTGTCAAGGACACCATCCTGTTGCTATGGAGGCTTCTAGTGTTTTTTGTTAAACATGATGCCTAGTCCTGCCTCTTTAATGGCGGGTTGCTCCTTTCCTCCATGGAGCTGGATCATTCAGGTTCAGCTCAGACTTGAGTTACTGGCTGTGGAACCCATTAGAGTTAGTGCTTCAGCCTGTTGGGATTTGCGGGGGAGGGACCTACCCAGCCACACCAGGTATCTTCCCACTTTCAGCTTCCTCTCTCTCCCGGCTAGGGGAGGGAGTGATAGCTCAGTCTGCAGGCTCACTGGGTAGGCTTACTTACAGGCTTACACGTTTGTTTGCTTAGATCTGTGCGACAATCCGGGGCACTGTCATGGATTGCTATTCAACTCTGCACTGGTAATTCCCGGTGTTGGTGTTTTGACTGACAAAGATCCCTTGTTCTGTGGATTGCTGAGGTTTTGGGGGAAGCCCCGTATCTGGACCGGGGTGAGGGAGGGGAGCCCCGGACTCACCAGTCAGATGCACTTTCTGGATGAAGTAGCACCCCTCCCCACCTCGGTCTGCCTTGCCTAGGCTTTGCTCACTGTCCAATCAGACCAGTTGAAATGCCTTGGTTGGAGCTAGGAGATCTTTTGACTTCTGCATCTCTCTTGCTGGGTTTTGTGCACTGGAGTTGTCTCTATCTGGCTAACTGCTGAAGTACCCCTCCTGCAATATTTTTTTAAATTGAAAATGATCCAGACATTTAATAACTATCCATCGTTTAATTTAAATTACCTTTACGTTTTTTTGTTGTTGTTTTTGGAGACTTTGTTACCCAGGCTGGAAGACAGTGGCGCTTCCTAGTCTCACTACAACATCTGCCTTCTGAGTTCAAGCTATTCTCTTGCCTCAGCCTCCTGAATAGCTAGGATTGCAGGCACACACAACCCTGCTCAGCTACTTTTTGCATTTTTAGTAGAGATGGCATTTCATCGTGTTGGCCAGGCTGGTCTCCAAATCCTGACCTCAAGTGATCCATCCACTTTGGCCTGCCAAAGTGTTGAGATTACAGGCCTGAGCCACTGTGCCCAGCCCTAACTTGAAGATTCAAAGTTATATAAGTTTACTTATCAGCACTTATTTCATTATTTACCTAATTAATTTTAAAAATAGTTTACCTAGATTACTTATGAAACCTGTGATACTAGAAAAAGCTAGCCATCATTTAAAGCCATGAAACTACCTTTCTAAAATTAAAACAGTGAGAAAATTATGACAGTGAATGAGATCTCACCTAACCAACTCTATCTTACCTTTAACCTCCAAACACCCTTGATCACTTCTGAGCATAGGCCAATCTAACTCTGGGAGAAATTTAGTTTACAGTTTATATGATAATATCCCTTCCCCAAACCAAACCATCCTTATAAAACTATTGAAAGCCCACCAGGAAGAAAGAAAAAAGAAAAAAAAAAAAAAAAAAAAAAAAAAAGAAGACAAAAAAAAAAAAATAAATAAAAAAACTAAAAAAACTAAAAAACAAAAGAAAAAAGAAAAAAAAGAAAAAAAATTAAAACAAACAAACAAACAAACAAACAAAAATAAAAGAAAAAAAAAAAGAAAGAAAAAAAAAAAAAAAAAAAGAAAGCCCACCAGGTTAGGAGGATGAGAGAGACCTGCATTCTGGTTAGATGTAGGCATAGTTAAATGATTACCAGCCATTATTCCATTGGTCACAAGATTTGCAACTTCCCTAATTACTGAAACCTAAATTTGGCTTTTCAAGATGACTTTTCAGACCTTTGCATTTCTGATGATCAGATGTCCCCAACAGCATCAGCCACTCCTATGTGGCCCCCACTCAAGAAATGAACTGAGTGCTGGAGGACTGTTTTCTACACCCATGACTGCCCACTAACCAAGAAGCAGCACCCATTTTCTAGCCCCCTTCTGCCAAACTATTCTTGAAAATCCCTGGCCTCTGAATTTTCTGGGAAGCTGATTTGAGTAATAATAAAATTCAAGTCTCCAATTTAGGTGACCCTACATGTATTAAACTGTTTATTACAACTCCCCTGTCTAGATAAATCAGCTCTGTCTGGGCAGTAGGCAAAACAAACACCTAGGCCAGTTACAGTTATGTCCCTGTGAACCATTGTGATAGCCTGTGAATATCAGGTGTTTACCTAAGTAAGAACCTTAAAGTTAAATAAATGGGTTTTTCTTTTCTGTCAGTAACCCAGGATTTAGCTGTTTTCATTAAAGCAATGCTAAATGCCTTATTTACCAAAATTACACACACAAAGATAATTTTGTTTTGGGCTGCATTTATAGCTTAATAACCTTCATGCCAAATTTTCATGCTTTATATTATCTAGTGGAAATAAATATAAAACCACGGACCAACAAATCTAAACAATAATGTATGTTGACAATTCTGAAGCCATTTCTAATTTTATAGTCAGCTTACTTGTTAAAGATTTACTTGAATCTTGTCATCTTGGGAAAGCATTTTGGCCTAAAGTTTCTATTTTTCTGATAAAGTATTGAATTGAAGCCACCAACAAGGGATGGAAAGCAGTTCCAAATCACACCTCTCCTAGTACTGGATACAAAGGTTGAGGCCTACAATCCTCTGGGACTCTGGGGCCACCTCTGCGAATCCCAAGCCTGCTTCATAGGGCCAAAAAAATGTTGCTCCATCGCTTACGCCTCAGGCCAGGAGGACACAAGCGTTTGCGCTGATCAAGGAGGCTGAGCCTTCAGCACTACCCTCAGCCCGGGTATTTATGCTCTCCGGAGCTCGTGGGAGGCAAGCCAGATATGAAACTCAATAGTAACAAAGGCATGAAAATTAGACAAATGAAAACCGATTAATTTTTAGAGAGTACATAGAACCAAAACAAACCATAATTCGGACAAAACACACACACACACACACACACACACACAACAGCATAGCGAGAAAATAACCCGAAATGAAACGAACGCTAAGCTAACCTTGCAGAGAACTAACGCTACAGATCGCAAGGGTTAAAGAGCGCTTCAGGTGCCAAGAAGCATCTGTTTCCGGGAAATGAGCATGGCTGCCATCGGAAAACCCTTCGCTAGGGCTGTGGCTACTAACGACCTTGCTAAACAGAAACTGGCGCGTGGAATTTAGCAAACTCCGGCACCTAGTGGATAGCCGAGGTATTGCCACGCGAGTATTCGTTCAGGCGCCGTCAACGGTGCTGCTGGAGAGAAACCGCGTGCTCTGTTAAAGGAGCGGAGCTTCCATGCCTAAACGTCCTGTTTGGAGGAATGAACAGAGTCCGTTTAAATGTGTTGTGACATTTTAATGTGTTTTAATCTGTTTAATCCGTTTAATGTGTTTTAGCCTGTTTTAATGTGTGCTGACAGAAAAGCGCCGGCTGACGGTATTACGGAAGTACTAGGGCGTATGGCAGCTGGGTGCGATCACCGTTCTGCACCATAAAACCTGGTTCAGGAAGTTCCTACGAGATTTAGCGGTACTAGGACCGAGAAAGTGACAGCACAGATAACGTACAGGCCACTGGAACGGGACACTTTACGTCGGGTGCTAAGAACGGTGCAGCAACCGAGAAAACGCCAAGTGGGCGCTGGCGGCGAAAGCTGTAGAAATCTGGGTACCAGCGAAAGCAGGGCTTACTGGTAGCAAACCAGAACCTGGCCAGGACTAAGAAAGTCGAGGCAGGGCTAACTCCAGGTTTGTTAAAATGAGAAATCTGAGGCTACGGCAAGCCTGGAGTTGCTGAAAAATGAGCCACAGGCTAACTCTGCCTTTCTCTGCTGAAACAGTGACTTCCTACGACCTAGAGATCGCAGCCAGGGCTAGACCGGTGTTTGTCTTAAGTTGGGACTTGCTTGGGCGGAGAAATCACATTATGGTTATTCCCCGACTTGAACAGCGGGTGGAAATTCCAGGCACCGCGAAATCGAAACTTGCTGGGACCAAGAAGCCAGCGACGCCCGAAACCGCGGCGCCGCCACAGGACTGGGGTCCGGGGGCCGAGCCGGAGCCCGTGCGGCTGCGCTGGGAAGAGATGGCGCCCGGCAGCGCCCCTGTCACCCGCTCGGAGGAGCGGCGGGCTCCCCCAGCCCAGGCCCGCCGCCGCCAGGGAACGCCAGGCTCGGCGCAACGGGAAGCTGCGACTCCGAATCCCTCAGATCGGAGACCGGAGCGCTGCGGCCACGCAGGAAATGCAGACGCCGAGCGACAGGTCGTGCCGCGACCAAGAGACCCCGGTTCGGCGAAACGGCGGTGCCGGGCGCCTGCGAGTGACACTAGTGGCGGGGTCGTCAAGGAAAGCATTCGTTACGGTCGAACCAACGACGCTGTCACCAAGAAACCGCTGACTCGGAAAAAAAGACGTTCCGCCACCGAGAAACTCCGTGCGACACGTGTCACTTGTGCTGTGACAGAAAAACCGCCGACTCCGCGCTGTTGGCGAAACGGGAGCCGGGTGCTGCCACCGTGACACCCGGACTAGAGGCCCTCGGATGGCGAACGTGACGCACAGAGCGAGCAGGAAAACATTTCCTTCCGCTCAACTAGCGCCGCCGCAACCGGAAACGTGTCGGACCAGTGCTGCCAGTGAAGTGCGTGAGAGAAACCGGCGATCCGCGGAGGAGCCGCGTGGGGCGCTGGGCCGCGCGCGTGTGTGAATCTAGCGGTGCTAGGACCCGGCAAGCGCGGGCTCCAGGCGAACGCCGGCAATGTTGCCTAAAACAAAACCGCGTTCTTTTGGCTGCCAGCGATCGCTCCCAGGCTCTGAGAAACTAGCCGGAGACCCTCGGTTCCGGGAAAGGAACGGGGCTGCGACGCATCGATTGGTCGCTTTCTCTGGTGCAACTTTCTCTGGTGGCCTAGTGACTAGAAAATAAAAACAAAAACGAGCCGGGCGCGGTGGCTCAAGCCTGTAATCCCAGCACTTTGGGAGGCCGAGGCGGGTGGATCACGAGGTCGAGAGATCGAGACCATCCTGGTCAACATGGTGAAACCCCGTCTCTACTTAAAATACAAAACATTAGCTGGGCATGGTGGCACGTGCCTGTAATCCCAGCTACTCAGGAGCCTGAGGCAGGAGAATTGCTTGAACCCAGGAGGCGGAGGTTGCGGTGAGCCGAGATGGCGCCATTGCACTCCAGCCTGGGTAACAAGAGCGAAACTCCGTCTCAAAAAAAAAAAAAAAGCCGAAATCAAAAACTGCTACTGGCATTACTCCCACTCTCCCTCCTCAAGTTAGTGCCTTCGGGTTTAAGAAAACCTGTACTTTTCTTGGCTGAACCTTGATTCTTAATTATCGAGGGCCCCAGCGACGGACCCAGCATGATTCGCAGAGAGAAAGGAGCTGGAATAAGGAGCCGGAATGGGGCGGATGTGGCTCCTCCGGGAGGAACGTAAAAGCCCTGCGGATCGCGGACAGCTTGACACTGCAGGAAGCTGCTCTTCTAATGGCTGTGGCTGGTCCTTCCACACCACACCCCCGTCCCAGGCTTTTGTCCGCGTTCAGAGCCCTCAAGGAGTCTGGGAGCGGTCGACAAGCACATCTCTTCGGAGCTTGGAAGCTCTAGGTCCGAGATCTCCGTGGAGAATGAAAGGCACAGTGCTGCTCGACCCTGGCCTCAGGCCTGCCCCGCCGGTCTAGTCCCTCCCCTGCGGGATGGAACTCTGGGAATCGCTCCTTATTCTGACGGTTCACTCTGTCAAATACCCTTGATATTTGGGGATAGTAGTTCAAAAACAACGGGGGAGAAAAATGGGCTGCAAGACTCTGCTTTGGACATGGAACTGACAGGAGACATCCACCTCCTCTCTAAGCCCAGGGAAAAGCTCGAGTTGTGGTTCTGTCTCTAGTATCAGGATTTTTGAAATGCATCATTTATTTATTTTCTTTCTTCCCGGAAATGCAGTGCAGGTGAATTGTTAAGTGCTTGAATATCCTCCCTCTCCTCACTTTTCAAACTGAGACCTACATCCTTTCTGATGGGAAATATGGTCCTGCCACTGTCCAGTAAGAAAATGTCCTTTCCCACAAGCATTTATATTTCAAAAAAACAAAAAACAAAAAAACCTGCACTATCTGAGTTGAGCCTGCAAGGAGACCTACAGATCCTACCATGAGCATCTGTGTTCACACTCATCATTTCCCATTTTCACCACTGCTGCTCCTATGCAAACCAGTACTGTCCTTTTCTGGGGGATTTTAGGCAGAGGCCATGCCAGAACAAAGGCAGAGAATGCCCTGCCAGATAAGGAAATCCATTTTGGCCTTGAAATACTCACACTTTCTCAAGGGATTTACCTCAATTTCTCCATCCCATCATACCTCTTCTTCAGCTAGCCAAAACCTTCCCTGTTGTTTGAGGCCTATCCAATTGCCTCCTGGTCCTGTGGGTGGGAGAATAAGGGAAAACTGCACTGCTCCCACCCAAAAAGCTACAGCCTCTTTACCAATAGATCAGTATGGAGTCATTGCAAAGCAAAACAACTACCACCTGTCTTCTCTTCCCATTTCTACCCCAGCTTCCCATCTCAGCAAAAAAGCTGGGATTAGCAACCCCTAGACAGAAGGGGTAATCTGTTTTGAAGGTAGTCCAGAGGAGGCTGCAGGCTGCTCCCCTACAGACTGACATCAAGATAGTTCCAGAATTCAGATTCTAATTTCAGTGTGGTTGGAGGCGGGGTAGATTCCAGGGAGGTCAGAAAGAGATATAGTACTGGATTGTGCTCCTTGGGAGGCGATCATAGGAACTTTGCAGTATGACAATGGCTAGAGATTGGGTAGACTTGGAGCAGACTTGCAATGGCAGTTTTGTGAGGGTGGGAGGACCTGGATTGAAACTTGAGGGCAAATTGTGGAGCCCATACGACATATGATGTATTTCCTATTTCCCTTCCTGATGTGTCATCCAAAACAAATACACAATAAAGAATTAAGAAAGACTGAAATTTGTGTTGTATTTCATTAAGAAAAATCTAATCAAATCAAGATAAATGTAATGATAAATCTTGTTAAAGATATGCAAGTGACACAAAACAGAGAAAGAGGGGGTAGACGGTGGGAGGGTCCAAAGAAGGGAAAAGTCTCCAACACTCAGGCCGTGTGCGCAGGTGAACCTGCTGGCCAGTTGCTATGTTGGAGGAAGCTGTGCAACTAATGAATGAGGAGGCAGGAATCCACATTAATACTTTCCCGATACAGAGAAACTGTTGGTTTTAACAATCTGCTTCTTTGTCAGGTATTGACTCTTGATTTTAGGCTCAGAAAAAAATTTAACACTTAAACCCAGTAAGTCTAGTAGAGTAGGTAGAAACAAAGACCATGGAGGAGGCTAGACAGAAAGTAAAAGGCAAAAATGCCCCAGGGAAAATCACCTGGAATTAGAAAGTGAAGAATTTTGCTTGGTGCCAAAGCAGAACTCAACTAGGTCACTAGGTTCACCCATGAGAAAAAAACGAACCATTTGCTGTTGGTCTCTGGGACTGAAGATTCCCCTTTCCCCCTTCCTGCCTATTCTCTGTTTGACATTCACTGTGTCGCTGAAAGTTTTCTTGGTTGTTGTTGTTGTTTTCGTAGGCCTGTGACTACCACACCAATGCACTTCCACATGTGTTCTCTTTCCTGGTTACTTCAGGACTTTCTTCTTCCTGGTTCCATTTGCTTCTAGTAATTTAGGGCTGTATTGACTGACAGGTTCCAAGAACTTCTGAAAAAGTCTTGACTGACAATTAAATGTGTGTGTGTCTTTTCCATGGGAGAAAAATCAGTGGTGATTTGGGACATTGTGAACTTGGGATTCTGAAAGCAGAATTCTGATTTAACAGTGTAACAGAATTCATGAATGTCATGGTGCTAATTTGAACAAATAGCAGCTCCGTGAGAGGAATATGCTTTTCCTTAAATCTAGGGAACACCAGGAGGATCTTTCTAGATGGACTTCCCTGGAAACCTCTGAGGAAAGTGAAAGGGAAGATGCCATTTCTCCTGGGAATGAGGATGCTGATGTAGAGGATGACAGATAATATGCCATGAAGTATTCAGTCACCTGGATAGATTTAGGGTTAGTATAGTTAAGGAAGAAAGGAGGGAAAAGAAAGAAGATGAAGAAAGGAAGCCAGAAAGGATAAAATGTATTTTAAGATAAAATTTCTGCATTGTACTAAAGTAATAATTTTTCTGGCTGTCATTAGCCAAGATGAGGGATCCTCAAGTTGCCTAAGACTGGATTTAGAATTGTCTGGGGGCTTCCAAAAAAGGCGTTCAGTAAATAAGAAGGAATACATGGCTATAGCCTCAGGGTCTGAGCTGAAGGTATAGATTTGTGTGAATTTTGATGGGCATGGTGGCCTGGCCTATAATCCCAGCACTTTGTGAGTCTGAGGTGGAGAATTGCTTGAGCTCAGGTGTTTGAGACCAGCTGGGGACCATGAGGAAACTCTGCCTCTACAAAGCATAAAAAAAATTTACCCAAGGTGGTGGCATGCACCTTGGTGCCAGCTACTGGAGAGGCTGAGGTGAGACGACTGCTGAAGTCCAGGAGGTCGAGACTGCAGTGAGCCTTGTCTGTGGCACTACACTCAGGCCTGGGCCACAGAGCGAGACTCTGTCTCAAGTAGGAGAAAGAAAAGACTTATGTGAATTTGGTGCTCCTTTGTATTTCAAAATAGGGAAATAGATAAGTGAATGTATGGAATAAAGAGTTTGAGATGCCGGACCCCAGTGAACTCAATTGATTTGAAGGTCTGACTTTAACCTTTCTAGGCTGGACAGTCTGGAATGACTCAAATGTTTCTAGTGCAGCTAAAACTTTGCCTCCATTGAAGTGAGCCTATAGAGGACTTGAAGGTACTTAGAGTGGATCTGAGAGGTATCTGCTTCCAGAATAAATTAGAATACCTGGATTTGAGCCATAATCAGATGGCTGTTAAGGGGTTACTTGAAGAGATATGATTCTTAAATTCATCGTATTGAATTCCGCTGAATATTTTAAGTATTTGTAAGTTGGATTGTATTATGGAAGTACGTGGTAAAAATAGCCATGCAGAGAAATATGTAGATATGGGACTTCAGAGTCTGATTATTAAAAAAATAAGTGGAGCAGCACTGGGGAACCCCTGTTCGTATTTTAGACGTCTATTCTTTCATTAGAGTGTAACTGCTATCCTCTGAACCTTATTTTTGAAAAAATTTATTTACAGATCTGAAAAACATTGATGAATATATCCCAAGAACGAGCCTCCTGATTCCAAGACCCCATTCAAAGGACTAAGCTTCAGTCTAATAAGATGTGTAGGCTTGGAGCCAATGGGGTCCAATAGGAGGTCCAATCGACCAAGGCCCCAGACTCATGAAAAACCTCAAATTTAGATGTTAGATTTTTCCTCCAAATGAGATTGTAAACTACAGCCACAGAGCTTCATGGATGGGAATGAAAACGGTCATGTCTTAACTGCACATGCTTGCATCACAGCTGAGGGACGCCAATAAGCAACCCACTTTGGGTTTTCTACCCCAGGTTCACTTGACACACTAGGCTAAAGGATTGAAGGCTATCTTGTGCCAGGTGGAGACAGGAAAAGAGCCCAGGCTGTTCTAGCAAGCTCCCCCTTATTTTAGGATGTTGCACTCCCAGCACATTCTACAGTTATTCTGGAGGACTACAAGCAAGGAAGTGGGAGAACTGGGTTGGTCCAAAGCCACCCAATGAACTTTTCTGCAATCAGTTTAGTTATTATAGTGAAAAGATATTTCTTAAAAGAAGACATACAGATAGCCAACAGATACATAAAATATTCTCTCCATCACTAATAATCAGAGAAATGGAAATTTAAACCTCAATGAGAACCTTTGGATCCTCCCTCCCCACCAGGTTTTTGTTACTGTTAACAGCACAGATAC